TGGTTTTTATTACACTAAGACTTGGAGTTGACTGTTGCTTCTCCAGCATAAGCGTGTCATGTTTGAGGTACAGCAATCGTTGGCATTCACAAGTCATGGGCTGTAGAGTTAGTTGATGGTCTTGTTAAAGTTTACTCTGCAGCCAGGTGCGAATCTCTGCATCCCGTGGGGAATGTAGGCCACAGATAAAAACCAGGCATTTGAACTGATCTGCCGTGATGAATTTGATGTCGAATTTTTCGCACTCGCGATTGACGATGGCAGCGTAAGTGACGTAGTCATCAGCATCTATCTTGGTGATATTCAGGCATTGATATCGCGTGTTGAAGATGGATGACTGCTCTCTATATATTTGTCCCAAGCATTTGACAGTCTCCTCAAAAGTGCAGTTTCGAGCGTCTTTAGGCAAAATAAAGTTGACATACCTGGAGTGCTCTGCTGTTCCAGGTTTTCTTAACAGCAATTGGACTTTCCAATCTTCATCATGGTCTCCAAGTTCAACGCGGAACACATCTTAATAACGCTTGAACAAAGCAACAGGGTGGGTAATGCTGTTAGTGATGGCGTCTACCGATGCGGACGGCTTGACGATTGTGGACAGTGAACCGGTCTGGATTGAGTTGCGATCAGCCTGAGTTGCGATGCCTCAAATTATGCTTGTCGCTGCAGCAGAATGGCCTTGAGCTCGTCAGCCGATATGGACATCTTGATTAGGGTTCAACCCGTCGCCAGCTGAAGTGTTCGTCCCTCACCTGAATGGACGCTTGATTCCCAAGCGAAAAACGAACTCGCTGCCTTCCCCTCGCCACAGGATAGAGAGAAGACCGGATCAGACGAACAGAGCAACAGGGTGCCTATTAGCGAATAACCTTTAATTATAAAGGTGAAATGGAAAGTTCGTGAATGGTATTTAAAGCGCACGTGGAAAGCTCTGGAGAGGTCAACTTACAGCAAATCAAGGAACCCCGCCCTAGCGTTAATTTGCCGCTTCTCCCGGTTGGCTGTCTGTTCGCCCCAATCAGGGAGGGTGAGTTTGGATGGCCTGCCGCGGCGATGGGGTCCTGGCTTGTTCGCATCGCGTATTCCTTCCTAACAACCTTATTATGACTCATCGAGTACTACACTTAAATCACTTCCCCATACTGCGGCCAATATTTCACCTGCAGAAACCCTGTAATATCCGAGGACGCTGTTAAAAACGCAGGGTCCCCTGCATGAACAAGGTATCACATCAGCTTGGTATAGAACGAATACTTGTAAACTTATGGAATACACTACCAGAAGGATTTATAAAGGCCGATTCTGTGAAGTGTTTTAAAACACGAATCGATGATTATTTCGGAAACCTGTGATTTTGTGAAACAATGCACATACAATACCAAAAGAAAACATCGTATACCCGGAAATGACGACACCAATACGAATTCCTAACCGAACAAGGATAAGCGATTAACTGACCGAACCCTATCGCTGACGATTCGCAAATAAATGTTTTTGATTTTTCATAACTCGATAGTGTTGTACAGAAACCTTTCTACTTGCTCTTAAATAGTCTCAGTCTCATCTCACGTAGAGTGAGAGTCTATGACAAGATTTCGTCGTCCTTCGCTGTTAACAGCGGTGTACGACAGGGCTGCCCTATGTCCCCGTTCCGCCACAATTTTGCAGTTGAAGACGTCCTGTCGAGAGTTCGGGTAGGTTACTAACAGCTCCTACCGGGCAAGTGAGCGATCGACTTAGATTATTCCGATGGCACCGCCTTACTTGACGATGTCTGACAGAACATGCAAACCACTTTAAACCGTTTGACGACTGAGGCATCTAGATACGGAATGTGCTTCGTCCCGTCGAAGTGTCAAGTGCAGTTCCAGGATTGCCACTCGCCCGTTCCCGTGCTCACTGTTGAAAGTACATAGCTTGAGCAAGTGGACAGTTTTGTTTACTTAGGCAACTGCGTGTCTGCTGATGGCACTATTGCGAAAGAAGTTTCCCTCCGCATCCAAAAGCCGTCGGCTTTTGTCAACCTGAAACACTTGTGGCGTTGTCGGGAAGGCTCCCTTTTGGTAAGGGTCGCGTTTACAATAAAACCGTTCGGGCCGTGTTGCTATATGAAAGCAAGTCGTGGCCAGTCAGCGTGGATGAGATATGCCATCTCTCTGCCTTCGACAATGGGTGCTGGGAGAGGATTGCTCGTGCGTGGTGGCAGCAACGTAGCTATAGCATTGATGTCATACGTCGTGTCTTAGGGAATGTGAGTATTCCCCTCAAAAAGCTAGTTTCACAGCGTCAGTCAGGACACATCTTGCGCGTCAGCTGAGCGTTTGCTCTATCCCGCACTTTTCGCTCATGCAGGACTTAGCTGGAAAAGACCAAGTGGTGGTCAGCCGTCCAATCGGCGACAGCATACAAAATCGTCGACTTCACGCATTGCTGCCGTTGGATTCACACGTCAGCCTAGTTGGCGATCAAAAGACGAAGACTGCCGATGGTTGGAAACAAAGCAGGATATGGTGCGCAATCGAGACCAGTGGAAATCTTTGTGTACATAATTGGTTAGATTCAGATGTTTAATGCTTAAGAATTGAAAAAGACAAAAAAGGAAAAAATTAGCATTGAAAATAACAGGATTTTTACTTCTTGCGGTACAGTAGCTGAAGGGTGTTGCTCACCTTCAGCGAATGTGCTGATAATAATGCAGCGGTAAGTAAAAATGCCCTTCCAGTGATTGCCATGAGACTGTCTATGTCTACTCGTTAGACTGTCGCTACTACTACTACTACTACTACTACTACTACTACTACTACTACTACTACTACTACTACTACTACTACTACTACTACTACTACTACTACTACTACTACTACTACTACTACTACTACTACTACTACTACTACTACTACTACTACTACTACTACTACTACTACTACTACTACTACTACTACTACTACTACTACTACTACTACTACTACTACTACTACTACTACTACTACTACTACTACTACTACTACTACTACTACTACTACTACTACTACTACTACTACTACTACTACTACTACTACTACTACTACTACTACTACTACTACTACTACTACTACTACTACTACTACTACTACTACTACTACTACTACTACTACTACTACTACTACTACTACTACTACTACTACTACTACTACTACTACTACTACTACTACTACTACTACTACTACTACTACTACTACTACTACTACTACTACTACTACTACTACTACTACTACTACTACTACTACTACTACTACTACTACTACTACTACTACTACTACTACTACTACTACTACTACTACTACTACTACTACTACTACTACTACTACTACTACTACTACTACTACTACTACTACTACTACTACTACTACTACTACTACTACTACTACTACTACTACTACTACTACTACTACTACTACTACTACTACTACTACTACTACTACTACTACTACTACTACTACTACTACTACTACTACTACTACTACTACTACTACTACTACTACTACTACTACTACTACTACTACTACTACTACTACTACTACTACTACTACTACTACTACTACTACTACTACTACTACTACTACTACTACTACTACTACTACTACTACTACTACTACTACTACTACTACTACTACTACTACTACTACTACTACTACTACTACTACTACTACTACTACTACTACTACTACTACTACTACTACTACTACTACTACTACTACTACTACTACTACTACTACTACTACTACTACTACTACTACTACTACTACTACTACTACTACTACTACTACTACTACTCCTACTACTACTACTACTACTACTACTACTACTACTACTACTACTACTACTACTACTACTACTACTACTACTACTACTACTACTACTACTACTACTACTACTACTACTACTACTACTACTACTACTACTACTACTACTACTACTACTACTACTACTACTACTACTACTACTACTACTACTACTACTACTACTACTACTACTACTACTACTACTACTACTACTACTACTACTACTACTACTACTACTACTACTACTACTACTACTACTACTACTACTACTACTACTACTACTACTACTACTACTACTACTACTACTACTACTACTACTACTACTACTACTACTACTACTACTACTACTACTACTACTACTACTACTACTACTACTACTACTACTACTACTACTACTACTACTACTACTACTACTACTACTACTACTACTACTACTACTACTACTACTACTACTACTACTACTACTACTACTACTACTACTACTACTACTACTACTACTACTACTACTACTACTACTACTACTACTACTACTACTACTACTACTACTACTACTACTACTACTACTACTACTACTACTACTACTACTACTACTACTACTACTACTACTACTACTACTACTACTACTACTACTACTACTACTACTACTACTACTACTACTACTACTACTACTACTACTACTACTACTACTACTACTACTACTACTACTACTACTACTACTACTACTACTACTACTACTACTACTACTACTACTACTACTACTACTACTACTACTACTACTACTACTAAGCTGAGGTTAGTCAGTGATCAGTTGGCGACGGACTCTTCGGTGGCTAGCTGGATCTCTGGAAAGGCTGTAACATCCATATTGGCGTAACTGTTGGCAGCCGCGTATGGAATTTTTCAATGAAGATGGACCTAGTGTTCCTACGTAGTGACGTCAACTGATAGAGCGACACAGTGGACGCATGGAGAAACTAACCGACCATTCAAGTCAGGTCAAACTGGGCAGTAAAATTGATTGTGTGTAGTGAGGCCGAGCAATCTGGTATTGTGCGGTCCAAATGCGGAAGACATGGGAACATAAAAATGTATATTTATTCCCTGATATATGATGGAAGCTATCATTTCGAAGTCATTAAAAGCACAGAAAAGCATAGAGGTATGAAAACGACAACTCACTTTCCCTTGCAAGCTACCCGATACAACCTCGGAATGACCTCCGGTTTGAGCGTGAGCAGCGACCTGAGCATGGGCTGCCACGTGTGCCGCAAGCAACGGGTCTAGGGTATCCAGGGTGTAGGAAGGAATCTTCGTCAAAGAGATTTGACTGTGCATTTCTGTCGAGGAACCAATAAAAGTGGTGGATATTAAGTTAATGCAAGTAGGTGTGAAGTGGTTCGCCTCCCGAGCCAGATACACAAGAAATGAAACATCGAAAAAGTGGCAAGAAAATACAACTACTTTAAGTGGCATACACCACAAACGGTGGGTGGCCAAAAGTATAAAGCGCCTGATCTGTAATCCGGAGGTCACCATTTCGAAACTACCTAGGTGCGTGCCACATCGCAGTATGCTCAGCCCAAGCGCAACCTGTGGTGGTTGCTTAGCAGCGAAGTGTCAGTACGGTGTCGACATACTGTTGATACCATTCAACCACATTCAGTCAATTCACATCCATAAATGCTCCGAACGGCTGGTTCGCCCATCAGGAAATCCGCATCAGAGCACGGTACTTTTGGAAAACGAAAGAATCTGAACTATGACTCAGAATATTCAGCCGCAAACATGAGCTAAGGACTATATCAGACCCCGGAAGCGGAAGCCACCAAATAGACGGGTGTGATGGAGACCGGTTCATACTCCAATGATTGGTGCGTTACAGTGGATTGGTGCCCCGAGAAAAGAGCTTGCTGCAGGCAGCATGATCAAAGATGATTGATTTAAAGAGAAGGAATGAACTAACGATGGAAAATAACTGAATAAGACTGTGTAATGGTTATTAGGTATATAAGCGACTCCATTGAACGTCTTTTCTTCTAACTTGAGTATTAACAAGCTGTTGGGGTAACCAGTGTCTCAGGCCATGACTTCAGTACGGACCTGAAATTCCTACAACTGGTTTGGCGCTACGTTTATCAACGTGGCAAGCTCGCGATGAGACACACTATGAATAACATATCATGTGACATTAGAATCTCATTCAAGCGGGAAGAAAAGCGAAACGAGTTTGCTTGGATATCGCACGGTGACAAAGAAGTAGTTTTATGGATCTGAATGAAGTATGTGAATAGACACTAATCCAAAAGTGAATGATTGCAAGGCAGAGAAGTGCCACTGGGATGATAATATCAAGATTAAGCAATAAAATGCTTTGGGCAATGGGGTAAAATTTATTGATATATCAAAGCATTGTAGACGTGAAGAACGCGCTATCCAATTCGTTGCGGATAGTAGGATAAAAAAGCTTAGCGTTTGATCAAAGGTTGCTGCACGACAACGTTTCGAAGACCAGACGGTTAGGGGAATAGGTGGGAGTTGACTCTAAACAAACCCATGCGAAAACTATCACTGCTATCACAAGGAGAAAAATCGAACCGTGCATAAGAAGTAGGCTGCCAAAATGCGTGCCGTGAGGTAGAGGTCCACTTAAGGACGTAAACATTGGTTCAATAAACCCCAAAACGCAGCATTTCCAGAACCGCTTAGAAAATCGAACTAAGTGACGCATAAACCGAAAGTGAGTTAAACTCATAACAGAGTGTGTATCGGTAAAAGAATGTATAAGAGGGCCGGCCGGAAACGGTTATCTGGTAAATATATCGAATCGGGAAGACCAAATCCGGTGGGAACAGAGCCAAAAACAGTGGGAAATTCTTAAGGGCGTCATTTGCAAATTCAGTGATAGTATATATCGCTTGGAAAAAGGAAAGCGGAAAAAATCGTGTACGGCGCCTTTATAGTACAGGACTCAGAAAATGGGTGAAAACAAAGGGAAACAGAAAACACTGATACAGGTATGTGTGGCCACATGTTCGTGGAGAAGAAACGGGATATCATGATAATCATCATCACTATCATCTTACACGTCAGCTAGAGGCGAGCAGCTCTTCGGCTAATGAGCCACAGAAACCTTTTGTTGGATGCACCTGGCCGCTTCAATACGCTTGTGAAGATAAAAACTTAAAGCAAACGGACAAAGATGGGACTTCACGGAGTAATCGCATACAACGAAGCAGAAGACCCAGAACACGGAACGCGGAGCGCGTGTTAATGCACGTGATCACGCGAGCCAAATAAACCGAGATGAAAGAGATGATCTGTGGTGGGGTAGAGTAAGACATGATTGAACTCGTGGTACGGAGAAACCGACTGGTTTTCACGTACACAACGGAATGAAACAGAACTGACGGTGCCTAATGTAAAGGCGAGAAGATGCACGCCTATCGAAAGAAAATCGTTGTGATAATAAAGAATCCTATGAAATGACAGTTTGAATAACAAACGAAGTAGATTGCATAGTAGTAAGTGTTAGGGGGAGTTAATAGTTTTGTGTAGATTTGCCGCAGCTAGACTCAGACAAACAGCCGTCACACATCCAGGAAAGTGCTAGACAGCCGTTCCGTCCCATTGGTACTCGTCAGTAGCGCGCAAGCGCGGAATTCTGCCAGATTCCAAGCCGCGACCATACTCTTGCGAATCAGCGACTTATGCCACTGAGACATGGGCGATGGCAGGGGACCGCAATAGCTGATATCTAACTGCGAGATAGCGCGGTCCATCCTCCACTGTCGTGCGTGTCATGAACGGGCAGCGGACACGGCTGGCCCCCAGAGCCATGACTTCTTTTGCAAACTGCCACCAATCAAGGCGGCATGTGAGCTACTACGGCGATTGCTGGATGTGTAGTGATTGTCTGAGTCTAGCTGCGAAGAATCTCCACAAAAAAGTAGATCGTTTGTATCAATAGTGAGTGTTTCAAGGGTGCGGGCCAGATATGCTTGTCGTCCGATCGGCATCAGAATGCGCACACTGAATGCTGCAAGACTGAATGCTGCTGAATGGAGAACCAGGACGAAGGAAAGATCGGGCTTCGGTTGAGTGTGAGGATGTTGTGACCACCGGGCAAGGAACATCAAACGTTTGGCTCAGAATCCGGTCAGATGCGACCAGCGAGCTGTTGTTGACGGTGACCGGGAAAGACACAGGTGCAGTTAAGAAACGGGACGTGGGACGATCTGTGAGCGGATGTTGAGCAGCAGAGACAGTAAAGCCAGTAGACATAGCAAGAGGGAAAGCAGTAGTGTAATCCATCCATGGTTTGTCAGTGGGCCAAAGTAGGCCAAAGTAGGCGTCTTCGGGAAGAAGGACTCGGGGTGAATCACGCCGGTGACCAGGTATTGTGTTACATAAGACAAAATGACGTAACCAATGGTGTCCCTGTATTCCATCTCATGCATCCAGATGTTAATATTCCAACCGAATCAGTCTTGCGCGCTTTCTCCCCACCCTTTTTCCGGTGTATTCTATTTGCATTCTGCTTCATAATCCTCACTACAGTTAATCACTACTACTGCCTTCGCGATGTGAGGCGTGGAGCTACAGTGTTCGGGTCATAGTGATTTAACAGAGTTGATGATTTATTTCGATTGATTCGTTGCGGCCCTCTCGCGGGGGGGATCAATATGTGTTGGGAGCATCGTCTCTAGTAAGAATCCGTGGTGCGAATGCACTCGGTCTTGTTCGATTGGCCTTTGGGGCGCATAAAATGGGATTAGTTAATGAAAGTGCAAAACAATGCGCGTGGAAAAACACAAAGCCTAAACACCGTCTTTGTGATCTTTCGTTAGTATTCACTTCCACCATGTCCCCTCAAAATGCTGCCACCCCGCGGGAGCTGTGTGCCGTGCTCGGATTACGAGACTTGCAGTCTGCAATCAGGAAAATGGAATAATACCTCGCTGGAACAAACATCAGATTATTTTGGATGGCTCGTGCGGCTAGACACACACCATACTGAACAAATGGGTCCATCACTCCGGGCAGCAACGGAAAGCACCCTCGGTTGCGCTTGCTATTTGTAATACAATCTTAGATCAATGTCTCCTAGTTCGCGCCCATTTACTGCTCATATGAGCTATTGTACATTGAGCAGTAATGAGCATCAGAAAGGATAACACGTAGTCACACTGTATGAGAATTTACCACGACTGAACAAAGATAACACAAATGTATTAGTCTACCAAGCAATAAAATCGCCAGATGTGTAAGTAAGGATATCGGAAGAAGAATTCAGGTGCCAGAGAAGATGAGAAGCTCATGACGCACAAAAGTTGTTGAAGCAATTCATGTGAATCAACCTGTGAATCAACAAAAACTAAATATACTCGCGCGGAAGTTGGATAAATATGGCATTCTAGCGAAAACCGCCGCTGTCAACACGGATTGGTCACGGGAAGACCGCGTGGCCGAATATTCAACGGCGATGGTTATTGGAACTGCGGTCCAAGTAGAAAATGCGTTGCTGACTCGAAGTGCAAACAATGAACAGTTAGGGGTTAACTAACAGTTGATGACCACGTTGAAGAAAAAATACCAAATCATGCCTAAACATTCAGCAAATGTATTCGGGATTCATGTGGATAAACGGCAATACAGCAAAGTGAGGTGACACATCAAGTGGAAATCTAGTCTATAAAAAAGAACAGTGTGGGTAAAGTCCGAAGATGTGATTCACAGTTAAAATGATGGAGAAACACGTTCTGAGTGTTCAGATAAAATGGATAGATGAAATCTTCAAATGACAAGATAACGCGGATCGCTTACATGAACAAAGCGATGACCGTTATTTACGAGGGCGAAGGCGTAGGTTAGACTACAGCTTCTTTCGAATCGGAATTCAGAACAGTTATGTGGGTTTCTAATCTAAGGGTATGATTTAGGAATGGCGCCAGTGGTGCTTGACTAAGACACCCGAGGGTAGATTTATGTTATAATGTGAGAAGGATTATCGGCAGTAACGGGAGCCGCGAGGACTAGAGCTAACCGTTCCTAGCTCAAAGCTGCCCTATGAAATGGTAGCACTTCCGAACTATGAGTGCGTAATTCTAGATGTAACAGTTAGAATAATGACAGAACTGTTAAGAAGGAACCACTTTTATCCATGCGGGTATGTACCAGGCTCCATTGCGCCATGACCAAGTTTGATAAAAAGCATATAATAGTCAGGATGCAGGTGCCTAAAAGGATGAAGAGTGGAAAAAGGGAACAAAAGCTTATAGAAGTCGGGGAAAAAATTCCGTAGAACAGTATGGCAACGGTATGTTTTTGAGCTGCTGAGAAGCCGTATGAAAACTCAAATCAAGCGAATAATAAGTGCCAACAAAGAAGAGGGAACGATTGGACTCGTTCACAAATGTGGGCCGTTTTTGTGTGACTAGTCCACAATCGGGATTTGCAAAATAGCTGGATGCGACGGAGGGAGCGCGAGCATTGATGGGCTGAAGCATCAAGGAAGAAGAACTTAAAAGATCCAATAAAATTCTCCGAAGGAAATAGCTATATTTTGAAGATATATTAGTATAGACTAGTAAGCATTATCATGTCATTACTGATCTGATCAAGGAGGCGCTTGTGAAATCCATATCACAAGAGGCGATAGGCAAGAGCTCGTCCTTAGTCATGCTCTTGAGCTATGAATGTGAAACGGCTACCACTATACGACCGTGGTAAGTAAAAAGAAACGGGGATCAGATGGACCAAATCTTAGAGTGATTCGGGCAGCCGTGGAGACTATAGGACACCGTACCCTGAGAGTGCAGCACGAAGCTAGGTGAGTGAAGAGATTGACTGATCCACTACCGTGTTGTCCAGCCAGGAAAATGAGAACAGACACAGTCGTGCTGAGGCTCAAAGCAAGTGCGCTCGATAGCGGCGACGGCACGGCTTTCATAGAAAAAACAGTGTCAAACAATGCCCTGAGTTGATGACACACTGGTTTTGTTTGTAGCGTCGGCGATATGAATTTCAGTTGGTCTCGTGAATTGGACTGCTAGTTTGTCACAATATATGCCAGAATGCTAGCTCTTGACCGGCTGTTGGCCGCCAGCACTCGCTCTGATGAGATGTTTGCTCCTACTGATTGATCGTTTACAAGCCCATGCACGATGGCTTAGGGTCAATAGACCTACTGCACTCACTGGCAATTTAGCAGAATTTGGTGGAATGACGACCTGCTAAAAACATTGACCCTCAGCGGCAAGTCTCGCAGGTGGTGTGTTTTGAGTCATTTTGGACGAGAGGAATAGACATCACCCTCGATGTTCCCCGAGCCTTTCACAATATGTGGGCGTTCACGCTGGACTGAGGTGCAACTCGGCTACATGAACCATCAGTCCTGTTGAACACTCGCCCCGTTTCCTTCGCTGCGTAAAAATAAAGTTCGATTATGGTCAGATACGTCATAACGCGAGTGTCGATGATGTCATTTGATGTGGCGATTTCGACGAGGGCTGTGTAAATAATTGTTGGGACGAAGTTAAGAGCAATAGTCAATATGCACAATGAAACACGAGACCCTAATCATCACTAGATTGTCCGAGTCAGAAAACTGTATCACAACTTTCGGGAAATCGGGTAATCACCGGGAGCCAGAGCAGAATGTGCTAAGCTAACTATTGAAATAATATGTACCGCGCATATAGCTCCAGTTAACAAAACGTGATAGTGCAGCGAAAAAAAAGCGAAAGATATCGAACACAAGAATGCCATCGATCTCATCACGACTGTGACATAGTGGCCTAAATAGCTGACCGCTGGTGTAGTCCAGCTAGAAGAACCAATCAAAGAGGACGGTATGCGCCAGTGTAATCCAGCCATCTGGTAAACATCATGCCTCTTTGTTTTTTTTTCATCGTGTGACAACATAGGGATTAACCCAAGTAGACCTACCTACCTACTAAATCACAACAATGATGTAGATGGTGTAGGTGCAGACAACCCAGGATTATCAGGATAGGGTCTTATGTTCGCTTCACTGCCTTAACTAATGATCCCAAAGGATATGAGCGGTGAAATCTGGAACTTGATCTCCAAACACAAACATATGTGTAGCGCCCTCAAATAGTGAAGAATCGAAGCAAATTCATACACATCTGTAGGGGTAAATCGAAACGTTTAGCATCTTGCTAGCTCCGAAGCTACGGCTAAGTTGCAATCCAAGCTAGAAAAATGGTAATACCACGTTAAGATTACGAAAAATACACTAAATATCACATAGAAGATGGTAATTACTAGTCCGAAGAGTGACACCATGGCTGGAAAAGCGTGGGGCGTGACCAGTTTAACTCAGTGGGATATGAGGACTCGATAGCTATAATGCAGCGTTGAGACTCAGGTTGTCCGCGTACGTAATAGGGTTGACGAAAACAGTTAAATGGAATGAGAAAATAACTGTATTAAGCTATGATTTGCGATATCAGGAGAAACTTATGCACTGGGGCGATTACGTAAGTCGTTGGCACATGTTCGCTTTGTAGACACAACGTGGACGTATCACGGAACCTGGGGTGATCAGCTACTTGTAGCGGCGATGATCCGGAGGCCCAAGTACCGTTGTTATCGGCCAGCGAAGAAAAGTCAAGGATGGTCTTTTCCAAGGCTTCCGATAAACGCTGCTTGAAAGTTGTATTGTCTGTTTGTGAATTATTTCAGCGTACTTATACCGGCTTCTAGAGCAAGGATGAACAAGGGATCCGTGGCATTGCTTAGATTATTCACGGGACAGTCCAAGGAGCAAAACAGCCGTTGAACAGCAATTTTCAGTATGAAGCAGCAGCCAGTTCGAATAGGTGGGGGGCGTGACAGAAACGGAACTCAGTATAGACTAGATGACGTTTCAAGCCACTAGTTAACATTATGCCAAATATATTGGAATATGTATCACCAAAGATGTGCAACTGAAAAGAGGTGGTCCAGAAGAAAAAGGGCTAAGACAGTAGATGGTGAATCCACGGACATCAGGAAACATTGAATCGGTTTGGGCGGACAACTTAGTGCCGCGTCTATCGGCGAGTGCTACGCTGATGAGCACAAGGAAGGAGAGATCGGTAAAGGAAAGGAGCACAATCGCTTATACATTCTTTAACTGTCCAAAGGTTACGGCAACAAGAGGGCGATTGCAACGCAGTTAGCCAAATCTGATTATGCCTGGCACACGATTTGCACTTCGGATGTGAGAAATTCCCCTCATATACAGAATTAAGCGATTATGATAAGGATAATGGAATAGTTGGCCATTCATGAACAACAGGAATGTCCTCAGAGAGGCATCTTCGACCCATCTCTTTCGTTAGAGTGAGATCAAACCGACAGGGCACTTGCCTTTTTCCACTTCCTTGCTAGAGTGACGCTTGCCAATGTCGGCCAGGGAGCGAATCAAGGGCAGCGTAGTTGCTCCACGGCCTCGTAAACGCAAATGCAGATGGACGTGTCGACGTAATAGGGTGTCGACGAGGCTGTCACGAGATTCTGATGGTAGCAAATTCTCGGAGACAAGGACGTTGACCACGAGGTCTGAGAAAATAAGGCAAGAACAAGAAAACGAGTCAGTCAAACGATTCAGGAATCACGAAAAACGTTTACATGTATGTGAGCTAAACGAGATAGAAGGTCAAGATCGGTGGTTACTGGTCTGAGCAACAAGACATCTTATTGCCATGGAAACAGGAAATAGCAACGCGGTAAAAGGCCTTCTAAAGAGCGTTGGATGCTGCAAAACTAGCCGGAGTCAGCTAAGTGGTGAGGGGACAGTGAGAGCAGCTGTCGCTGTGAAACGAAGGCACTCGGTTTTCTGTCAATTAATCAGCAGAAACAGCGACAGCGTGCACTACGGATGCGTCGACAACAGCTGGAACGTGAGTGACCGCCGGAGAAGCGCAAGACTGGCGACTGCTTGGGGAGTGCAAGGAGTGGAAATGGATCAGAATCCAAGTGCACCAAACAGTGAATTGTTACGAGAGTCAGCGGATTGGGCACAAGCGACAGGGAATCGATGGTCGGCACTTCAGCGCTACGCCCTCCTTCTTCTGGCGTCACCAGAAAGTTATCCGCATAACTGGCGCACGGTGCGAGAACAGAGACTATGTCCGGTTGGATATGTAATCACTGTACAAGAAACGAGTGCACTAATCCCCCTAATGGCTGGTGCACGTGGGGGACCTGTGCAGAGTACAATTTCGGTGCATTTGTACACCGAATTGCAAAGCCAACGCACCGGATGAAAAATGACAGCAACAGCGACGAGGGACAAAGGGAAGAGAGGGTTGCATGTGTTAAAGAATTCGAACAAGAACAGAAAGTGTTAAGGAGATAAATCTAGTTACCAGCTAGTTTGCAGCAGGAATTACCATTCCGAAAGCAGCAGGCGACGAAGCGTGAAGATAATAGAGAGCATTGAATAACTGGTAGCTGGGTCGCGGTAACCCGGTAACTGACACCCTTGCTGTAGCACTTTTTAATAGATGAGAAACTGCGGTCTTTTTCTGACATTTCCCGAAATAGACCGAAGAAGTAGCGGAAACACAACGAATAGGCGGGTACGCCAACTGACAACTGATAGATATATGGTCAGTAGACCAAGGAGACAAACTGAAGTGGGTTGTAAAGCACCGTATTTCGCCGAATATACGCCGACATTTTAACTGCGGACAGTACACCTGAAATATCAAACTTGTCCAGAGTCGTAATTTATTATACTAACCGGCCCCAAAAAATATCAACAAAAACTAACGAAATAGTTTCATCATTATTTTGACGTCTACAGAAATGAAATGCTGTCAAAAATATCATCGGCTTTTATACGGTACTATACGGTACCCAGCAACGAACAAGCGTGAGACGTATCCAAACCACTCAAACACAGTTGTCATTTGACAATGATTGGGTGAAGGCGGCAACGCCGAGAACGCGGATAGTTTACTCGCTGACATGCTTTAAAACAATGATGCGTTATACAACCCAGCGTCGAAGCGTAAACTGGTCAACCCAGGGAATGTCAATTCGCGAATTTTGTCCCAAGCGCCTGGTGGCATTGCCACTGTCACAATCATCAGCAAAAAAGATTACGACAGTCATTTCCAACTGCGTATCGGTGAAATAGTCAGAGCGTACTTTTGATTTCGACTGCTGCTTGGATCCTGGTAGCGAAAAACAGCGATAAGTGTTACGGGCAGATTCATCATCTTCGGAGCTAACTGGTCTGTAGGAGCAAAGTACCAGTGGTCAGGTATTGTCACTGTATCGATTTAGTATGACGACCGCTGCGCTTGGAAGGTCAGTTTTTCCACGCAATGCATGCGAACCACAAACACAGCCAAAAATTGTAGGTAAATACAATCGAAATGATGATACCTGAAAGAACCTGGCTCTATATTCGTTGACGGCTAAAAGTAGAATCAAACAACAATCAATCAACAACAGCAGTACATCCGCCATTTGAACTGATGCTTCGCTGCCATACAACCATGATGACCTATGAAATAAAGAATAAGAAGAGGGAGAGAAGGGAAAGTTACCATTAAAACCTTAATGCCCTAAGCAAACATTCAGGGTCAAGGCGCCTACACCTTGCATGGACAACATGCTGTCACAAACAGCAGGCTAGCGTGCAAAGATAAGGCGACATCTGCGAGACAGCTTCCTTGCGGATTTCACTGCCACGCGTCATAATCAGCCATTACCCCGCAGATAACTCAGCACCAAACACACTTTAAACAGACAATCCGATTAGGAGACGGCAGCAGACGCGCCACTGGTGTCGGTTGCGAGCCATGTCCTGTAAAGTCTCGAGCCAAGCACAAGGTGAGTCACGTGGACTCCAACCCGGAAGGCGAGACGGACCAACGGCACCCAGTTTGGTCGTCAGTGTCTTCATTTCCCGCCGCCAAGTCAAGTTCTGTCCACCTCGAGCCTTGCGCTATCCGACACCTGGTAGACTGAACAAGGCCCTCCTAGGTAAGCGGTGGCCAGACATTCGCAGCACGTGCCCAAGCTAATGCAACTTATTCAGTGTTATCTGTTGTCCTAGGGAGCTAGCATGATTATCACCACCTAGTACTCGCCTACGCACATCATCATTGCGGACACGTTGGTGCCATCCGACACCAGCAATGCTTCGCAGACGATGGTCAGATACTTGAAGGCGCATCAGATCTTCAGTCCGAAGGGGCCGAGTCTCCTTCCAATAGAGCAGCACGGCCCTCACTGTGGCCTTGTATAAACGGCCTTTCAGACGGAGGGAAACTCCCTTCTGTCGCCAAAGATGCCGCAGGTTCAAGAAAGCAGCTCTGGCCTTTGCAATGCGTGAGCTGAGGTCAGTTACTATGCGCCCATCGTTGCTGATGCAGCTGCCAAGATAAGTGAATTGATCAACCACCTCGAGTTCCTCGTTAGCAAGGATCAAGGGGTTATAAAGTGGCGCGTGGTCCTGTAACAACACTTTGCACTTTGAAGGTACAAAACGCATAACAAATAATGGGACCACTCTAGATAGGCTATTCAGGGTTGATGGTGTCACCGCAACATGGTCGAAAAGCAAGATGACATCGTCCGCATAATCAGGATTAACTAACCTTTCACCAGGCAGTACTACAACGCCTACATTGTGAGATTCCCCAAGGGAACACTCCATGATAGAATCCACCACGAAATTGAACAAAAACGAGGAAATCGGAAAACCCTGACGAACGCCACTTGTGGTCGGAAAGCTACCGACAGTTTGCCGTAGACCCTGACGCGGCCTGTAGTGTTCGAGTATAGAGCACGTAGGGTGTTCACATATTTCGTGGGAACACCTTTCCGCGCAAGTATTTCGAACAGAATCGATCGCACTCTTGAAATCAAGGAACACACCTATTATCGGTCTACAGTAAGCGTGGCGCTGCTCTAGCACCTGCCGCAAAGGTCTATACAAGCACGCCCTGGGCAGAAACCGGCAGCTCTTCCTTAATCCGAGATTCCCGTTCCACAGTGTGGCGACAAACGAGAATCGAGGCCAGTAATTTTGTCCCAACTGGCTTTAGGCTAATACACCTGTGGTTAGAACAGTCTGTGCGACTGCCCTTTTTGTATATTGATACTATAATCGATTCGCCCCAATCAGCCGGGACACTCTTTTCATTACAGATATATTCGAATGGGGAGGTCAGTGCTTTGCAGAGGACCGCACCTCCAGCCTTAAATAGAGCAGGTGAGAGGAAACCCAGGCCAGTGGCACGAAAACGATTGAGGACTGTGATCGCGTTTCGGACCTCGGCCTCCGACGGAGGCTCTAAACTAACCGTCCATGGCTCGTCCTGCATCACCTGAGTAGGAAGAATTCCGGGAGCAGGGGGCCAGCTGAACTGATCTTGAAAGCCTTCCGCCCAACGTGCCATACGGCGCTCCTTATTGTGCATCAGCACACCCGCGCGGTCTCTGATTGTCTCACTGACGCCTGGTTTTCTGGGACCAATGGTGCGAATCAGCTGGAAGAGCTTGCGGTAAAAACTTACTGCTCCTACCTCCTCCATTTCTTGAGCCCAAGTGGTCCAGTAGGCTTCATTGTCAGCACGTAGGCTCCGCTTTAGTTCGCGCCTAATAGCCCGCCCGGTCACATGGTGCTCAGAGCCAGCCGGGAGGTTTCTTCTAAATTCCAACAAGTTCACCGACCTCTCGGATATCTAGTGACTGGTACGGTGACCACTGATAGTGCCACAAGCAGATGCTCCTGCGTCGTGCTTGGCGGCCGAGATCCTATTCCGCGGAAGCTCAGTGTCATTAGGACAAAACAGCGAAAGTTTGGTACGCAGTGCGTCGTGATAGGCTTGCCTGACCGACGGTTGAGACAATTGCTCAATTGCCAATCGTAGGGGACGCTTGGTGCGCCTCCCGGTAAAGTTCATGGAGAAAGGACAGCGTACCAAGCCATGATCAGAGTTGGCGCAGGTATTCCAGTACGAGGCACAATCCAGGATGGAACCACGCCACCTGTAACTTATGGCTATGTGGTCAATTTGGGTCCATTGCTGTCCAGCTACAGGAGAACGTCAAGTGGCATTTCGGCGCCCGCTATGTCTAAAAAAGTGCGACTAAGAAACAACTGGTGCTCCGCACACAGTTGTAGCAGACGCTCGCGGCTGTCAGTCCGTTCGGAGTTAAGCCCATAATTACCACCCAGCTGAGCTTCTGAAGAGCTCAGACGCCCTACTTGTGCGGTCATATCCCCTGCAAGTACTATTGCGGCACAGTAGCTGAGGTATTGGGGCACAGTAGCTGAAATGTTTCCCACCTCTAGCTGACGTGTATAATGATGACTGCAAGTACTATAATATCTGAACTAGTAGCACGGTGTAGTAGTGCGTTTAGTTCGTGATAGAATGTCATTGACAGCAGTTGAACTCCAGTCGGTGGAAACATAAGCGGAAATCACAAAGAAACAGCGTTCTGACTACTTCGTGAATCAACGTTAGTTGATGTCGTCGAACGGGCTGCACATAAACGGATGTTAACAGCATAATGTTTCCCACCAAACCGTGTGCTGATGTGTTCTGCAAGAGACCCTGTTATTGTATACCACTCTAACAGCAGGCACTTTGACTCTGCTACAGAGCCAGAGGAAGAGAACCACCGGCGAAGTTTTTCGGGTCTCCCGACGGAAATTCTCGTGTATGGCTAGGATCAAGAAAGCTGGCTGAGTAAAGCGTAAGGAACAGTGACCTAGGCAGCTTAAGTGTAGTCATATGGATTCCAGCACGATCAACTGTTCCAACAGCCACAGTCGAAATTCGTCCACAAGATGGATAGAGCAGTAGACCTAGACAACCCTACTCCTCGTCGTGATGAATGTGTCTAACGGAATCGCGAGTCATGCGGTGTGCAGAGCGCTAGCAGGTACACCGTGAGAGTGCACTGTGTTTCAGCCGTTTGAGCGTGGGAAAGCGAGATGCACTTTGACGTCAATTCCGTTGCTTAACCGGAGCATGACCCACGGGTAGTGCGGAACGGAGTACACCTACCAAGTAGGTATTGCGCACCCCAGCTCCCCCCCCCCAAGGTGTGATCGATTACCAGTGTTAGGCCCCGGTAAAGTGCATTCGTGCGAAACGGGTTAGAATCCCAAGGCGGTTCTGCTTTTGGTCCAAGCATCACATGGTCGATGAGTTGACAATAATTAGATATCCAAAACAAACCCGATCGAAGTAGTCTAGTGGCGGATAAGATAGGACAGCAAGTGAGTTGACTGGTCAACGGGAGAGTGCGATAGAGATGTTATATCGAAACCGAACGACAAACTTTGATGGCGATCATTAAGGGGAGTACCCACCAGCATGAGATCATGTGCACAACGAACATCCACTAGCTATTTACAAAGGGGACAATTGGCTCGAAGAACCAAGCATAGTGTGTCCTTCGCGTGCCCGTTGAGACGCACGATGTAGATCTACGATAACCGGCTGTAAATTTGCTCTATTCGGTTAGGGAATAAGAAGGTATGCGGATGGCAGAAACGAATTACGCCATCGTCGTGACTGAAATCCCCCGTTCGAGTTAGTACGATTTGACCTCGTCGTTTTAATAATACTTCTCATACGGAGAGTTAAAGAGAGCTCTAGCCTGATCTTGACCATCCGTAAGCAGACAACAGGGAATTAAAAGCAACCACGATGCGTAGTGCAACAGACAGAGACATAACGACTATTTAACTCGCTGCAGCCGCTTGTTTCTGTGTCAATTCAGGGGACAAGAATTAGGAACGGTGCAGTTTGATGTTAGTTCACCATTCGAGTGAGAGACATTTGTATGAAACGGATGAAGTTCGATAAGGCCCGTAGCCTTGATGACCACAAGCCTTCCCTGCAATGCGAGAGGGCGGGTTCGAGTCTGTGTAGAGGACCGGGTGATCCTCGAAGTATCATTAGCCCATCTACAACTGGTGGTGGCCGCGCGGCAGCGAAGCACCGGTACTGCATACCGGCGTACTGCTGATGCCATTTTTGACAAGGTATTTGAATATTGGGTGTCGCTCACCCGAAAAGTCTACACTCCACGACGTGTTCCGACCTTATTTGATATAGCCAGTTAGAGAGAACAGGCATCAAACGAGAAGGCATTGTTAGGGTGATGGAAATCTGATAACCCTTCAGTAGACTTCAGGGCAGTCACTGATGCACAATCCGTACAACTCACGTGGAATGTAACATTGCCTCATAACCGCAATTTTTGTAGCATCGTGAATGGGATCGAAAATAGAAGCAGTGGTTTCATTCTGGTAGGTCTCAGAAATTACAAAAAGGAAGTAGATCGATGGTTGTGTCTGCTCATTTGAATGTGAAGGTGCTGCCGGGTGCAGCAATTACTTAGCATGACAATACCAGCGTGGCTTGAGGTGGACAAGTGACGGATTTAGTTGATGTTCTGATGACCAAAGCCACAATGCACCGTACATCACAGACCAAGCGAACAACAAAGGATGGCCACCGAAATAACTGATCGATTCCCGCACCCAGTTACATACTCGTCTTGGTGGTCAAATTATTGAATTTGCCCCGCATATCAGAAGAAAACGCGTGTTATCTAAAGCTACGATGAGCTTCAACACCACGACGCGGTCGGGATACCAACGATACTGCTGTAATTAGTGAATTTCCGCTAGGTCCCACGGGGGAGGCCGAGCCACACTGTTTGCATTAAAGCTCGATGATTCAAGGTTTCTTCTCAACCGATGTTGGTTGTTTGTTTTTCGTTCGCTTTTCTCCTTTGCACTTCCATTTTCAACTAATTCCATTGTAAAGACGAGGGATTTGTAGTGCCAACAACCACATTACGTAGGGTAGGGCTATAACAAACAGGATTGAGGCGCAAGGTTTCAGACAGTTATAATCCAATATCAGAATGTTTCCCAAAAGTAACCAGTTCATTTCGATAGGGATTGGTTGTTCCGATGTCATTCCAGAAGAATCCGCACGCGATAATACTGTGCCACATATCGCGTCACACGACGAAAAGTCATTACAAAAGCGTATTCGGAGGAGCTGCGACACATGCCTAACCGTGGCTGATTTCTCAGCAACTTTTCCAACTGAGGAACGACGCGGACAAAGTGTGACGTCGAGAGCACGGCAATGTCAAACACTCTACTGAGGTGAAGTCCTCCACGCTGCGCTGCGCTGGTGGACTTCTTACTAATTCAAGGTGAGGATTCCCGGATCCAAACACGTATAGGTGTTTTGAAAACGGTAGGGGACGCCACCGTTGAATCGACAGCAACAGCTGGTCACAGATTATCTGCGAAGTGCCAGTCCCCATCGTATTCGTATGACCATTGGGAAAGGTAACCGAGAGCAAAACGCCTAGCAGGGAAAAGTAATGCATAATGGGGCAAAGAAAGACTTGTCACATTTGATAAGCAGGACAGATTCCAAGTCAGACTGCGATGGGTGAAGTGGCGGATGACAAAGTAAATAAGGATCGGATAAGTATTTTTGACATGTATCTCCTATAGGCTTTAACAAACTACACCGCTGGGTTACACGGTCAGATGAACAGTAATTGCGGCACGTGTCGTTGGGGATGTTAACCGTAGACTGAGAGATAAACATCACAGCGCACGACATCACCATATGTCATTCCGTGAATGGTGAATGTTTAGCATGGAAACTAGAAGCCAATCTGCCAAGGCTCTGTCCATCAGTAGGCTAGTTAATCCGGGTCACTAAAGCAACCCTATAGTCGGATAATAACAAGTGACCAGCACTTGGCCGTGTGAGTCGACAAGTTAGCCCCACTTGTAGTAAGATAGGATGAAGACAGCGATGTAGTTTTAAAGTACGCGTTGGCACCAGTTAGATCATGTTTATTCACGCTCAACAAAGCAAACATGAGATCCCAAGGATGACCTTCACCTCCGGCCTCGTGCACAGCACCGGAAACCAGCTGACACCGATGGAAAGGTACACTACGATTAATTTAAAAATACAGGTAAATGTGCATATCGCAAGTAAGCCAATGACGAAGGTGAATTTGGTTGTAAAATTCAACCCTAGTAACCATGATCTCAGAAAGGTGAACAGGTGGAGCGACTCTCCTAGAACCAGACTGTTAGGAAACCAATTTACTTACGAACAGATGTCAGCGTTCGGACTACCGGAAGAGGTAAACAAAAGGTGGGGGCATATTAAACTGGTTCGTTTGGTTGTCCTAGCCTCCAAATGGTGTACAGTTGCATGTTAACTCCCTGACCATCTTCATGCAAGATGCGCTGGTTGGCCAAAAGAACATCGAGTTGGTCGTTGGTTTCGATCCGCTCATGTGGCGTGGTCATCTCAATGGGTATTAACGAACATGTGGGGATATGACGGCGCGGCCTTCGAATCCAGATGTTGCTGATGTCAATGGAAAATTGTTCTGCGCTACACTTGGTGGAAAGTCTCCCCCGAGGGTGCATAAAGATCATCTTGACATCACTTGACCTCAAGAAACGTTGGATTAACACAGCATTAGCCGTACTTAGTATAGAACGTCATTTTAAGGAGCAATGGTAGACAGAAGAGCGGATGCAATCTCGAACGTAATCACGGGCATCGTGAAATAGAATACTATAATAGCTAACGCATGTTTGGCAACTAGCCAGGTGACAGTGGAAGGAATTGAAGTTTGTGTACCAAGCATACAGATGAAATCGAAATAACGTAGTAAAGCACATACTACAAGCATGCGTGTGTGTTCAGGCACGTACCAGCAATCTGCTCCATTGAGTACGCCTCCAGGTTGAGCATAATCACCGCATTGGCCAGAAAATTGCGCAATTCAAACAGCGAGAAGAGAGATAAGGTGGCCACATGAGGTTTAGACCAACGTTCACCACTCTCCTCCACATCCTCCTCGAACTTGATCCACCTGGATGATTAAAAGAAAGCGCGTCTTTCACTAACAGAGTGACGCCGTGGAGAGGAAAAGCAAGAGGACCGTAGGCGTGGACGACAAACAGAAAACCAGATGGGTGCAAGCCGCCAAGTTAAACCGAGTGGTTAGGATAACGACAGACGCTAAATTAAAAGAAACTAAACAACGAATGTTGAGGCGACATAACTGAGGGGGAGCACAGGCGAATAAATAAAAATAAGTCACCATAACGTTCGTCTGCATCTGGTCGGGATACGGATGATTGGCCTAGGGCTCGACAAACATGTGGTGGGTGCTAGCGGACTCGAACCGATCCAAACGATCGAACTATCCGTAAGTGAAAACATGTGGGTGGCACACCGAGTGTATACGGAAGGGATATGGAGCAACCGGAAGTCATAGCCATAGGAAATGAGAGATACGCCCACACGCGTCTTGCAAGTGAACGCACACAATCAAGTTCGCGTGAGCGGTTCAAATTAGAACAGATGTTCGGAGTGCAGAGAAGAGGGTTAAATTCAGACGAGTCTCTGGAATCTCACTGTATCAATCGTCGTTCCCTGAGCTTCATGTAATAAAGGCATCCGCAGTATGCCGGTACAAAGTACTGACGCTTCGATGCCGTGCAACCACCACGGGTTGCACGTGGGCTAAGGATACTACTACTGCGAGGGTCGCCCTGTCCTTACGCAGGTTCGAACCGGCGCCGTCAGATTACAAAACAAGCTACGGGCCGGCCTATGTGTGATAAGGACGGATAGAAAGCGAGAAACGCTACAACACCAACCCTCAACAGTCCCATATACTTGAGAATGACACTAAGTCCATAAAGGTGGATGAATTATGTAAAATGTATACAACGACAACACCAGTGTTATCGGATCATCCACTGTGAAGGAGGCTCCGTGTGGTAACACCACAAAGCAGCACATATACAATATGTGAACCGCTAACTGCTAGTTTGATCGCGGCTTAAGGAGCTGGCGACAGGGAACTCACTGAGTAACATGGCATTGCGACTCTCCCCATCATAAAGAAGTTGTGAACTGAAGGAAACCGACAACGAAGAGGAACGTTGACACTAGGCAACACCAAGTGCTCACGCATTGGATGCACAGCCAGCGATAAAAAAAGGCTGAACAGCACTTTCACCTAAATCACAGCGCCAACTGAGAATCCGAGGAGCAAGCCGAACACACAGCGGGTACCCCAGCCAGAAAATTACTGAGTGGTAAGTAAAGCGAAGGCGCTTCCATGCGATAGTACCATAACATAGATAAGTATAATACGAAGAAAGAGGAAAAAGAATACGTGAAACTGTGGTCATGTGTGTAGAGTTCTACAACCCATCCGCCATTGAGTGCAAATTCGTGGTCCTTGTGACTCCAATTCGGGAGCCGAGCGGGCCAGTTCAAGACTAACTTTGGGATTAGCGCTTTCAAACTTTGGACCTAAAACATTCGTTGGCGACCATACTTTTGTCTTCAAACGAGTTTTGCGTGCACAAAGGCTACGGCGAAGTGGGTGCTGAACTGGCATGTAAAGTACATGCCAGAGCCCTCGAACCATGTGCAGTGAAAGTACGCAACTCAACGGCTCGAAGAACTAATCAGAAATGAAAATCCCTTAACGAACGTCATCAAAAGTAAACCATCAGTACTCCTGAAGGCAGATGTGACTGAAAAACACATGACTTCTGAGTACTATTTGCGCGGTTGGCGAAGCCTAGCAACCATGGAACAGGAGCGCTCTTTTGGATTTAAGACTCGGATATTCGTAGATAGACTGAGGTCGCAGATGCTAGCAAAATTAACCCAGGCCTTGGATACGGACAAAAAGACCTCATCCATTAAAACATCAGCGCTAAGTAAGCTTGCGAGAAAAACGAAGATCCATGTGTCGTAGTGGACAAAGGTCGTAGCCCCACGGTAAGTTGCAGTGACGATAAAATATGCACTATACGCCCACGTTAAGTTCGCGACTACGGGTTGACTTTGCGATGATAGTCCGCCCACGAGCGCCACCTGACACAGCAGGTTGTCGCCAAATTCGTCAGTGACCACATGTGTGGTTGCGATTTGATCACGCTCCAAGATAGATAGAAGAGGAGATGAGCAACAGAACTGCCATGTGCATACCAGTTAGTGCATGAGTAACTATCAATATACCTGGCAGACCAGATCACCCTTTAACTCCAAAAATACCACGAACCAAATCGCGAGCGGTTTGCTGTGATGTATTTTATCCGATAGAACCGTGTTGACTGCCCCTGCAAAGCATTGTGAGGGAATAGAAATGTCAACCACAGTTGAAAATTGTATCAATGGCACGTTGCGGTTATTAACTGAGAGACATATAGAATCTTTTTGCAGTTACAGAGTAGTGGAGGAGGTTAAGTAAGGAGTATTTTGAAACAAAATAGTTTATTCGTCCAGGTTAGCGTTGGGGTTTCGTATACTGTTGCGGATAACCAGACAGGTCAATCGGAAAGCGTGAACAAATGCTTTGACCGATGTTTTCGGTAGATGCTTACGGTTTTGAACGACTCCGTTGGCTAGACAAAAAACACGCCTATCGATTCATGGGGCCATTAAGCGATAAAGCGGTCAATGGAAAAGCGCCAGTCACTCTATGGACGCGGCAGGCAGATGCTTCTGCAGATGTTTCTGTTAGCCACCAGGTAACCCACACCAACACACATCAGGACTGCATGCAGTTTCACACAGATTGGAACACCGAAATCATGTGACACCATCAAAAGCGACCAAGGTAGGAATTCAGGGTTGAGAATGGCAAAATGCGGAGGGGATGGTAGACGAGTTCACAGTAAGCGGGAAGATGGAGCGTGAAGGTTCACAGTCACTAACATAAAGAAATAACACGGAGAAACATTACGGTACTAAAACCGGGAAGGACTCGGCGTGGATGACAAACGACGAGAGAAAATAATGTTGGGAGTCCACAAATGAAGCGAATGAGCCTTCTGAGCTGCGGGAGGAATCTTATGGCAATGGCACGACGTTTGACTCGTTTGTAGCTATTATGGGCCCACAACAAGTAAACACCCTCAAGACGGTCAATCTATGGGAAAACGCTTGGTATCTCGTGTGAACCAAAGTTGCAGCTTATCTGGCCAATGGTGTACGGCATTCAAAGTAACTGAAGGCGTCCAATTCGCCACAAGAAAGTCCGTTTTAACAGTTCGACGTTATTGTGAAATTTGCATGAAACCCACCGGTGTCCCACTGGAATGTTTGTTAAAGCGTAGCCGCGTGTGTTGGCTAAGCCATGTCCTCCGTATGCCCGTTGACAATCTCCTCGGTGTGAATCATACCCTGTTGCTGTGCAGAGAAGCTCCTAATCTATGGCGTAGCGAAAGACTTGATCAGGCTAGTAGGTTCCGTCTTAGTGGATAGCCGTTCACATCAGTGGTCAGAGACCCCTTCGAAAATGACGCAGTTGCACAGTCAGTGGTGATTCTGCACTCTGTTCCTTGGAGCTAGCTATTAATATCCCATCCCGAATGATTTGATTTGCTTCTTCGTCCACTACTTTTCCGTGTAATATGCTTACGTTCTATCTCAACTCTCCCACCACCATTGTTACTTACTGTTATCCTGATGATGTGGATCGTGGGAACTAGGTTCACCGCAGATCGTAGTTGTTCACCTGAAGTGAACTGATGGGAGGCGACGACCATCGCATTCCGTGTCCACAAACATACAAGCCGTGTGGGCGTAATCGTACCATCACCGTCATGGAAGGCCAATTGTAATCATAATGTCTACCTTTGATCGCACCTCCAGTCACAGCAGTGGACGCGCTAGCAGGAGAAAGCTAAGTTCAGTTTAGTACCTAGGTGCGGTGAATCCAGTTGTCTTGGTACATTTCAACGAAATAACAATGACAACAACCAGACAGAAGGAATGGCGAAGTCGATAAATCAGTAGGTGGAATGGTCAAGGGCTCAAAGTAAAGAGTTAGGTAACAAAACAAGGAGACTAAAAACGAGAAGGAAATTTACAAGAAAGAGTTGAAGAATGTTAAATGTTGCCCGACCGCTTTCGCACTTACCTGCATTGATCAGGCAGAGATGATAGCACGACTACGAATCGAATCCAGAACCTTTGGGATGTTAACCAAAGCCTGCCACTGAATAGAGGCGGCCATCTTGAAGTATTTCCGCGTGATTGGATTGTGGCAGCCAATTCTAATCGGGACCAGTGATCAAATTGACCTAGTTCACTTCAATTCGATTGACACTTCGATTGACATTGCGTGTTGCGATCCACTTACACAAGGAATGCTTCAAAATGACCCACATTTACACGAATTACCGTATATTAGCAAAGATAAGCCAGACAGTATGACTTTGCAACACCAAATGCATACAGTGGTAAGTTCGTATATCAAGCGACCCCCCAAAAATCTATCGGTAAATGTTTTCCGTCATGTTTTCCCCCACATTATTGAGTGTGATGGTGTTAGGTTCTACATATTCCAGTATGTTCCTGTTACCGTCATCCGTCGTGACCATAGAAAGTGCAATCTAACGGGGATTTGCGTCACAAAAGTAACGTGTATAGTAATAGGTACGCCTAGAGACTGTACTAAAAAGTGGAGCACTTTAAATTGCCGAGTGGAATACCGTCCATCACTAGCGGGTTGTGCTAAGGGGAGATAGGAGCAGAGGTATGCAGTGAATTCTTGGGTGGATTTTGCACGTGACGTTTATCAACATGCCGATAACCTTTGCCTAAGCCGACCTCCCATTAGAGAAATGAGAAACTGTACGAAAATCATCGGCTTGCATTCGGTAATATACGGTACTAGTAAATAACAAAAGAACGGGCTGAATAGGTGAAACTGACAATCGACTTGTTTGTCAAAAATTACCCGAAACAGAGAGGATTGAATACCACGCATGATAAAAGCGGTAGACGGAGAATGTATACAACGACGAGGTACCGGTGATCTGAGAAAAACAAATCACCAAGAAACAAGGTAGTATAGAAAAATTAGACGAATTACAGGGGTGTGGTAAGTGGTGAATGGACTCGAATCACTGGTGTTGGCAGAACCGGCTATAGCAGTGGAAATGACGAAAACAGGTAACCAAATTCAGAGCAGTAGCATGCGCAAAAACTGCCGGAGGGTCGCAGTAGGTATTGCTGGTATTCTGATGAAATGGAGAGTATTCAAAGCTATTTAAGAACTTCTGAGTGTACCGAATCCTGTCGTAGTAGTATTCACAGATTCCGGTTCAAGCAGATGACTAAGGAACCATTTCAACTGACGGAGACGTTGGTGTTGTCTTTTGTCTTTCACTTCTCACTTTCTCTATTCGACGATCAATGGATCGAGATGAATAAAGGGCTACCTGATTACTTGGCTCGTAAACTTGAACTGGATGAACAGGTTCATAGCATAAATAATACGGTAACGATCTTCGATAAAGGGTCCTTTCTGCCCAACGCCCGTTCAAGTGAATTCGAGTGATCAGTTGTCTAGTCCAGGTTAATGTCAAACGCAACGGATTTATGCTTGGCGTAATGGTCGATGATTGGTTCCGGTAAATGAAGCTGGCCCCCAGCCTCAGGTATTCACCCGGTTTAGACCTTCGTATCGGATTTTTGGTCGAAATCGTTGGGGAGAAACTAATAAGACTGGGGTAACAAGTGAGCGGCTTCGATCGCAAACCTCTCGAGTCAGTTAATGTTAAAGTTTCCCCGTAACCGAGATCTCGAAGACAGCTTTACTGATGTGATGTGCGAGATGATGTTCCCTACCCGACTGCAAGGCCTCTGCCTAATCTCGTTGTCTGAAAGTCTTTATGAAAACCTATCAGTAGCGTATCGCTACAAAAGGGACGACAAATCACTTCACATAGAGCACGAATGCAGAAGCAAACAGTAGAAGGCATGTTTCGGCTCAAATCAGTGATGGTTTTGCAAGTTACCAGTTAGAAGTGGCCCTTAACATAGTACTCTTCTCGGGATCGTCGGGACACTAAAGTGGGACTATCCGGTGGTCATACCCGAAAGAACGCAAATACACGGCTCCACAGTGCGATGTTGCGTAGACAAGATGCACTGGTTATGGTCATGCAAGCGGGCGAGCAAATATGGTGCATGGTGGTAGTCAAACAGATAAGTAGTAGTAGTAGGACCGGATGTCCATATAGTGGTGGTGGTGTTTGATCTATACGGATAACCGTTTTAGTGAAGTTAACAGTTGGCTTCTGTCTCTTCGTTGGGATTAGAGGGCATGGTAGAGAGCAGAAAAGCAACAATACAATAGGGGCTCAGCCGTGTAGTAGTATCAGAGCACAAAGTGCATAGCAGTTCCATGAGAACAAACGACGCAACAAGAGTAGCTGGCGAGCCAATACTTGTAACCACAGCGGATGCCAAGAAACAGTGAGGCTTATTTTACAACAGAGTATGTGCTGAGTACAGTGAAAATATACTGTAAGGGAGCTGAATGCTGCCAATGGATTTATGGTAGGTGGGATAACCACTAGTTTCACAGTTATTCTTGATCTTGGGGGCCGCATTCAGACGGGTGATTAAAATAATTAGTCATCGCCATTAGTGATACGCTTTCAGAAAGTTGCTCTGATAAGCGAAGTTAGCAAATGGGCACAGGCACCAGAGAGAAACAATCATCATGAATGCAGTGGTGCTCCTCAAAGTTTTCCAGAACGAACATTATCATTAATAGCATAAAGAAAAAAAGGTACCAGCAATATGCCAGGATGCAGCAGCGACGCTTCGCTGCCGCGCAACCACTACCGGTCGCAGGTGGGCTAAGGTTACTGCGAGGGTCGCCCTGCCCCTACGAAGGCTCGAACCCGCGCCGTCACATTGCAAAACAAGCTCGTTAGCTTTAGGCTACGGACCGTGTTAGTCTAACCCGTGAAGCTTTTCTTCGTTGTTTTCCATCACAACGTACGCATACGCGTTGAAAACAGGCAGTGACATGAGAAAATTGTTATCGAAGCATAACATGCTCACCTCGCGGCCTCCCGCCACTCGGCATCTCCCGAGCCATTGGGATCATGCCATAACTCGTCCAATTCACAGAACAATTGGTGTGGTTGCTCCTCTTCTCCATCGCATTCACCGAGGAGAAACATAATGTGCTCGGATGGATCAGTGGCTGTGTAACACATCACAGAGATGAGAGTAGCAGCCAGAGGTGAGGGATTAGTAGTAAGGCAATGCATGCACAACTTGACGCGTGAGTTACACTTAGAGAGTAAGGGTGAAAACACATGAAGTAAGGAAAGGTTCTTGTACTTTCAATGACAGCCATTATAATCAAGTAAAACATTTATCCCAGTAGCGATCCCATGGGCTGGGATATAAAAAAACATTTATTAGAAGTATGGAACGAAAAAGGAATAAACATATAAATGCAACATAATCTGCATATGATGCCATACGACTAGCAGGCTGGATACTGCTAAGTTACTCCCACTTAGGCGAGTATCTAGGAGTGGAACTTCTCAGAATACGACCAAGGCCTAAGACGACGCGGTGAAAAAGTGCAAATTGATGTCATCTCCATCGGGTTGAAATGGCGAATAGAAAAAGTAATTTATCACTGCCTGTACCATTCATGAGAATGCGTAGCGTGCTGAACAACCAGCATATGTTTAATGTTGCGTTAAAAGCGGCATAATGTACTACGTCTGTGCGCAACAAAATTTCGTAGTTAATTTGGCAAAATTACGGAGTAGCCTACATGATCAGGTGCCGCGAAGAACCTAAGTGCTACCACGCTTTGCAAAACCGATTTTGAAGAGGGAAAAGGCTGCAGTCAAGAGAAAAGGTTAGCGTTAAAGCTCAGATCGATTATCACTGTAATCCGAGAAGCGAACTTCGGTGGATTGCCAACTGTTATTATAATAGAGCTGAAAACATTGGAATAAAAACAGACCAGCCAGTGAAATCCAGACGGAGAAGGGTTAGAAAATTTCTGTCACAACAAAGTGTAAAAATCTGTAGTTAGAAACAAAAGCCTAGACATAGATAAGCCACAGATTTTTCGAAGGTGACATCAGAAAGGATGTGTAACCACTATTGTAAGCGTCCATGAATAAACATGAGGTAAAACCTAAAACCGATAAAAATGGTGACGCAGACGGCATAGCTACGTTCGTTTGCCAAATCATTGACCTACCAGCCCCAGTGTGGGATTTCATAAAACATGGTGTAATGTAGATAAACATGCACATGGCCAGTTGCTTAATTGGCAAGCATAGAAGCTGTCCGAATATGATAAGTACCAGCGGGTTTAGTGCGTAACTGGTGATCAGTAACTTTTGCCTGGGGACTCAAAAGCCCGACTGTGAATCAATGTAGCTCGTTTCGTACTTCCGCTAGAGTTTTCTTGTGACTCCTCGATATTTGTAATCCAGGCTGAACAATCTGCTGTCCTTAATGCGTAGTGGTCGTGCCGTGTCAGGATTGCAGCGTATGCCAAAACGGCGTTCGGTCGGTAGGACGAAACCACGCCGCCTCTATGGGTAACAGGACCACGAAGGAAACGCTGGTCACGCCGACGCATGCTGCAGCATTCTCGATCATTCGATCGCTCAGGTACACCAACAGACCGAATTCCAGCGAGCATACCGAAAACGAGAAGTATTCTAACTCAGCTCTGAGATAGTATCTTTGGATTTGAAGGGATGAAACAAGTATTGAAGCACCTAGCAATTTACATTGACCTGTTTGGCAGTCATCGCTAACTGGATGCTTGACGTACCTTTTGTTCCAGAAGTGGCCACATCAAGTAGCTCATTAGTAGGGAGAAAGCTAAAAAAATTAGGGATTGAGACTCGCAGGCGCTGCACTATGCACACTGAAAGTTCCTAAACAACTAAGAAAATGGGTCATTGTAGCATTGACTCATAAATTCCAATAGTCCGCGGTAAGTCCTAGAGTGCAGAACCGATGACAGATAGGTGAGCTACAGGACATCTGTGTGTGAGAAGATTAGTTTAGACGAAAAGCATCGGACTTCCCATGTGATATGATCAGATTCTTTGGCAAGGCAAGTGGTGATACCGTACGAGAACTGCTGAATGCTTAGTTTACTCATGAAGTGTGGCATTGCACATGAAAAGAAGAGTTGTTCTCGGCAACTGTCAAGCTGTGACCTGCTTGTACTCTACATGCGATCAACAAGACTGGAAGTGAAATGGAGCGTGACGATGAATGGAGTCAGAGAAGATGACGGAAACAAGGCGTTGAATGAAAGCAACCTGGACAACTGAGAGACTCCAGGCAGCTACGATGAGAACAACCAGGTATCGTAGAAATGTACACAATTCGCCAACAAAAGCTAGTCGAGTTGCACACTGCGGTCTACCTTAAATACGAGTCGACCATCAAGTAAATGAAAGTATAGGACTTCCATAACTATTAGTGACTCGTCGCTAATGACTAGTCACACCGTATCACGGGAGGCTTACGTTTGAGCAGTATGGGCATAAAATGCGATTGGCTCTGTACTAAGATCAAAGCGAATAAAGGGATGTAAATCCAGCTCTAAGAGAGAAACCAGTGGTTTTTAAATGTTAAATGTAAACGAAAGAAGCCAGAAAGCATGCGGTTTCCCGATCTATGAAGCGACTATAGATAAGGATGGGGATAACGGTCTAAGTGAAATTACGCTCAACTATCGGGGGCGTTCCTTGACTTTAGCCGAAGATTTGGATAAATACTTAAGTATATTGGTTGCTGCGATTCAAAGCTTAAGAAGAAACTTTCAAGCGGAGAACCAACTGGGATCAAAAACATTAACTCTGCGTTGCAGTCATCTCAGTCGACTTTTAACTCGCTAATTTCGATGCTAAGCTACGAGCATCCATACTTCATTTTAATCGTAAATGGCATGATTAAAAAAGCCCATGTCGCCGTAAGCAGAGGGGACATTCTTATAACAACCGCAATGGAAAACTACGGCTGAACCGAAGCTAATACGTACGTTGTGCTTTCGAATCATCCTCCTTTGTTTGAGCGGTGAAACGTTTTCGTCGTCGGCGGTGGCGGTGCGCAGAAGGAGCTGTTGGATCGATACCATGAAGCATGCCGGTTGCCGGCAAAGAGGTGCTTCCATCCACGGATGGCAGACCGATTAATGTAGACGGCTGTGAGCGATGATCTGCGATTATGAAGTGAGAGACCAAGTAGGTATTAGACATATAAATGTAATGGAAAGATTGCTTGAACAAATAGTTGGGATGATAAGAAAGCGATGATGATCTTCATATAATTGTTACTGACCACAGTTCCTGAACACGTTCGATAACAGTTCCAACCACGTGCACTCATAGTCCGCATGTTCCCATCCTGGAGACCGGAAGCATCCTACGTTACTTAACTTGGAAAATAGTGTCCTGAAGCCTTGAACTCGTGTGCTGACCAAGCAGTGGTCTCTTCTAATCAACCACTGTATGTGTAGAAGGCGTCGCAAGGTAACTGCTTTGTAGGCAAGCGAAGCAACTGTACAGTCCACCGCATCCAGTGCAGTGAAGTTACACGACTCGGTAGCTGAAAGATCTTGTCGGGCTCCAAAAGTCGTCAATAACATCGTGGAGAATGTGATGCTGCCATCGTGAGCCGTTAATGTTCCGAAGGGGGTTGTGCGCAAGAACATTGGTCAAACGTCGTTTGTGCGGATGGGCCGAATTAAATACCCACACAGCAGAACTGTCTATGTGGTAGCATTGTGAGTCTGACCTGTTTTCACACCAGAGTAAGAAGCCACGGAGGTTGCTAAGAGTTGTTGACAACTATTCAACACCAAGTTACCTCTAAAAGTAGTCGAAATCGGAAACCCTTTGGGTTACCCAATCTTAAAGGGTGATGATATGAGTAGCTCTTGACGAATCCCTTGGAAACGTTTAACTTAAAGGGAATAAAAGCAACACTGAAACGGATAGCTCAAACATACATAGGGCATTTCAGACATCATATGAAGAAGTACAATCAGAAGAATAAAGCCCGCGCAGTACAAGTTAAAAAGTTCGCAAGCTAGAAGTACCTATGCACCATTAAGCTTAGTTGTCCAGAGATATAATGTTATCTGCGAAGAGGTTGAATAACAATTTTGAGGCCAGGTAACCCAACCTTATGCCGCTGGTAAAACTAAACGAGGCGAATAATAACAATATCCTAATACAATGCTCGAAATTTGAAAATATAGCTCAAAGTAAATTAACGTACTTCCCACGCACAACTCTACTGAATGGGTGATTATAGGGAACAGCTACGTCAAGCAAGTCAACTGTTACCTGTTAGTCTAAATAGATAGCGGCGATCTGCTGTATGATAGATTGGAAAAGGGGGATGGATCTTAAAGGTGTGATCAATGTGACTCCGGCCTAAACGAAGTTTTCCTTGCTTTTCATAACTCTGCGGTTAGCATTCAGGACTGAACCGCCAAAAGATGGACGCTGCGCAGATGAGGCAGAACTCTATTCACCGTTAAGCACAGCAGTATATTCGCGCTTTTCATTGGTGCTTAGTTGCCATAAAACAAGAATTAGAAAATATGGATCAATAAGAAGAGGATTAATGTAGATATTAAATGCGCCAGGAAAACATTGTTGAGTAAGGCGTATACGCCTTGGCAGCAATGCATGGTTACAAGCATCTGGTTAAAGTACAAAGATGGGGCATCGAAAGCGAAACAGCTTACTTGAGGCCTTTACTGCAAAATGTCACATCCGACTTTACCCCACAGACAGCGTAACGCCTCACAAAAGTTAAACGGACAGTGCGGATGGAAGACAGAAGCAAAAGTGGCACTGGTGCTAACTACGAGCCATGCCCTATAAGGTCTCGAGCAATGCACAAAGTAGGACATGTGGACGCAAGTCAGGCGGAACAGATTAACAGCGCTCATTTTTGCCGTCAGTGTCAGCCGCTGGTCGAAAGGATTGCGCGCACGCGTTGTAATCATGAGGTCAACGGTTCGTAACCGCGTAGTCGTAGGTAATCTCATGATATACCCAGCTCTCGTGCGACTAATGGCAGTCGCGTGTCAGTACAGTGTGCCTGCATATTGTGATCCCTTCTTTCTGTCTTCAGTGGTTTCACTGTCCATTATTCGATCAATGGTTGGTACATTCCGGCCTTATGCTATCCTGGATCAGGCAAACTAAGGCCTCCCACGGCAAATGGTAGACAGACACGCGTTTTAAACAATGCAATTCATGCAGTATCGCGGATTGACTAGATCATGACCACCCAGCACACACATCGTTCCGGACATGAGTAATGCTTCGTAGTCAATAGTGGTCATGGAGGTGGAAGTGTACGGTAGCATCAAATCAAAAGGGTTGAGTTGCACATCGGTAGAACATCCCTAGCTGTTCATATGTACACACGGTCTCAAACATCGAAAAGTCCTCTTCTTGTTAGAAGACATCGAGGATACACGAGATCAGCTTTCGTAATGCGTGAGCTAATTCCAACAGTCACGTGCCGACTGCTACTTATGCAACTTCTAAAATAGGTAGATTTATTGACTACAAATAATTTCTGCCGCTTAGGGTTCAAAGGATATCAGGTACCTAGTGGCCCTGAAAAAAGGTTGAGCTATGGAGAGGCGAAGAGCATCCCAAAGCATGGAAATAATTCAGAGCGTTTATCCAGGACTCGCTGTGCTATCTAGCGATCTTTAAACATCATGTGGGTGCCATCAGGTAGATCCCACTGGGTAGTGCCTCAATGCTTGTAAGTTGAGGCACCACTAAAGAGCACTCCTTGATGAAATCTACTGCTGGGTAAAACAAGAATTGGGAAACTAGATAAACCTGGTGGATACCATTTGTTGCAACAACAGCGTTTAGAGATCTACAACAGACTCAAATGCGACCTGCGGTTTTTGACTACGGGAAACCCAAAATTCTCATATATTTGATGAGTGCACCTTTACGGTAAACGGAGTCGAACGTGCTCTTGTGGTAGGAGAAACCCACCTGCAGCCAGCTGAATGTAGGCGGGATGCTGTCGTAGCATATCCAACCTGGAATAAGAGTGCGATATACGCAGTCCAACCTTGAATCCAAACTTGTCTACTCCTCTCTTATCCATGATCTCTGTTCTGCAGTGAGGCGGCGGAAGAAAATATGGCTCAATATATTTAGATGTCGTCAGTCTAATACCACTGCGGCTAGGATATACTTTGCAGCCATTTTTGATAAACACAATCAGTATGATCGATCTGAAACCGACAGATGAAGAGCTCTCTTCACACCGTACATGCTCGAACAGGTAAGTCCCTCATTTGCAGGGAACCTACCCAGGTTTTTAAACATCGACAGCACTAGACAAACGATCATCATCGTCATCATTAGCAGCAGCACAACAACTACTTGAACTGGTGCTTCGCTGTCGTACAACCGTAATCAACTACGGAAAAGAGAAGAATAAGAAGGAGAGAAGGGAGCCTGCTGTGAAACGTTAATGCCAGAAACAAAGATTCAGGGTCAAAGCGCCTACACCTTGTCATATTGTCACAGACAACTGGCTATCGTGCATCCGTGACAGCCCCTTGCGGTTTTCACTACCCCGCACTACAAAGTAGTTACCCCGAAGAGAACTGAGCGTCAGGTGTAGTTTAAAAAAAGGAATCCGACTAGCGATGACAGAAATCGTACCACTGATGTCGAGTAGGAGTCATGTCCTGTAATATCTCGAGTCAAGCACATGGCGGGTCACGTGGACTCCAGCCTGGAAGGCGATACGGACAAACAGCATCCAGTTTTGCAGTCAGTGCTTTCAGTTTCCACTACTAAATTAACTGTTGCCAACCTAAAGCCATGCGCTACTCTATATCTGGCAAACAAAACAAGGCCCGCCTCGTTAAACTGTGACCAGGCATATGTAGTACGTGCCCAAGCCAGCGTAATCAATTCAGTGTTGTCTGCTGTTCTAAGAAACTGGATTGATTATCACTGCCTAGCATTTGCCTACATACATTATCGCTGCGCACACCCTGGTTCCATCTGACATAAGCGAAGTTTCGCAGATAACGATGAGCAAAGACTTCAATGCGCCTCAGGTCCTCACACCGAAGGAACCGAGTTTTACTCCCATAGAGTAAAATAGTCATTACTGTGGTTTCGTACATACTGCTTTTCAGACCGAAGGAAGCCTCTATCTGAGGCTACAGACTTCATGGTGTAAAGAAAGCGGTCCTCCTTACAGAAGGGTTTATAATACAAATCGGTTTGGTATAGGATTCTGATGAAAGAGCATTTGTGCCAAAAGCGAAACTTAGTCAATACATAACCGAATTATACTCTAAAACATTTCAAAATTATGGTTGCTCAGTCGGTTCCAAGGTTATTTCGAGATAATGAAAGTGGTCCTGGTTTTCGTAATACATAAACTAACTACAGCTCCAAAGCGCCCATCGCTGCTAATGCAGCTTCTAAGGTGGGTGAGTTCACCAACTAACTCGCATTCCTATCTATGAAGAGTCAACGGACCATATCAAGTGGCCTGTGGTCCTGTAACAACACCTAAAATTTTGTAGCTATGAAGCGCGTACCAAATGATTGGATCACTCCTGAAGATTATTCATGGTTGACTGGGCTGTAAAAACGTTGCGAAACAGCAAGACAATATAGACCACAATAACAATATCAACTAGTTTGCCAGCAAGCAGCGTCCCAACGTCTGCATCATGAGATCCAGTAAGACAACATTCCGTGGTGGAGTCAAACTCAAAGCTGAACAAAAAAGGTATATTTTAACAACCCTGGTGAACAACACCTGCTGTCGGAAAAACACACATGTAACTGTAGTCCCTGACGCGACCCGTAGTGGTTGGGTATAGAACATGGAAAATGTTCATATATCTCCTGAGAATAGCTTCCGCACAAGTGCCTTGACCAGAATGGGTTGGATAACTCTGAAAGCCAAGGAACACAACCATTTTTAGACTGTAGTAAGTGCAACAACGTTCTAACACTTGCCGCACGGTGAATATGGGATAGATACAACCCATTTTGGGTAGAAACATGTCTGCTTTTCTTTCATCCGTGATTCCGGTCTCGTAGTGACGCGACGTACGAGAATTGTGGTCAGTAATTTTGTCACCAACGGTTTTAGGCAAATATCCATATGGCTGGTACATTCGATGCAACT